TGGTGAACTATGACAATGTAGTGGACACGGGCTCCGAAACAGATGAGGAGGACAAGCTTCAAATTGCCGAGGAGGACGGGCTGGCAAACCCTCTGGACCAGGAGAGGAGTCCAGCTGGCGTGCCCAACCATGAGTCCTCCCCGCACGTGAGCCAAGCTCTGCTGCCCAGAGAGGAAGAGGAAGAGGAGATAAGGGAGGGTGGAGTGGAACATACCTGGCACAGCAGCGACATTCTGCAAGCCTCTGTAGATGGTCCAGGTAAGTGTCAGAGACGACTGGGCCCCTGCCTGTGCCCTCTTACACTAATCTTTCCTACCTAGGGGAACGTCCACAACCAGATAATTAAAATATTTCTTCCCATGGCCCTCGCAGCATAGAGATACCAAAGCTGGTGACAGATTATGAAGTGATAGCAGCGTTATCACATTTCACCACTGACATCTTAGGAAGGGGTTATGTTTCGGTGCTGATGCACGTTGCATACACGAGCTACCTTAGAAACACACAACACGAAGTACCTGCAGCAGGTGTGTAATGCGCGAACCACAGAGCATGATCAAGAGCTGTACATTCAGGGTAGAACTTGGAAGCCACGTAAGAACTCACAACTGACATAATTTAGAAAGTTTTGTGTGGAAATGGTGTAGCAATATCAACTAAAGGGCTGCCAGTTTAATGTTGTTGCAGTGTCTGTCTGACACCTCCTGTTCTAATCCAACCATCTAATCATTCTCCTTTGTTAAGTGTGAATGTGATTTCACACTTTCACCTGGTCAGGTAGCTTTTTTATTATTTAACAGCTAAGCACTTGATAATGATGCCGGCTATTTGGTGGGAATCTCTGGGGAAGTAAAGGTGGTTCAAGGCCAGCTGTCATAAAAATAAGGTAAATTATGTTCAAACTAAAACTTCATTTGCCACTGGGTGAATGGAAGTGACTTGGTCTAAGCTCACTTAGGATGGAACATCACTAAGGTGTGAAATGATTAGCAAAAGAGAATTAGTCTTAGTCCCCTGAATTCCCTCTGCTCATCTTTACTTGGGAAGGTGGCCTATAAAAATTTTTTAAATGACTCCTAATTCACCATTGTGTCTCCTTAATCTCTATTCCCAGCACAGGGAGAAAGCTATCATGGTTTACCCCACCTTGTTTTTTCTTTGCAATAAAAATAACAGCAGTTTTTTTATAGATAGGTGAAGTGAGTGGGAAGGGAAATAGGCACAAGTCTACCTATTGCACGCCAACTATAATAGAAAATTAAAATAAAAAGTCTACCTATATGCTATTGTGATGTCGCAGACTATAAAAATTGAACATAGGCAGAGGAATTGCTTGGTATTCTGGAAGGAGGAAAATAAAAGCACTTCCACTAACCAAAGAAATTAAATGTGGAGGGAAAAAAAACACACAGAAGAAAAGACTGATGGGAGTGTGAGTGCGGTATATTTGTTTTCTCGTTGTCCTAATATACAGTGCCAAGTTTTGTACTCTTTCTGTTTCCAATTTTGCTTTCGGTGAAGGTTTCTCGAATCTCAGCAATCCCACACATAAACATTTATCGTTATATCCATTAAGTCTTAAGGTTTTAGATTTTCAACTATGAGGGAGAACTCAGCCAAAGATGCTTGAAAGATAAATACGTTTAATTAGGGGCAGAGGATGATCATTAAAGGAAGTCTGACTGCTGCAGAAGTCATTAACAATCTTAAATGAAATTTTTATTTTTATGATAGCCATTTACATGTATAATAAGAGCCAATGATTCTTGGGAGCAGTGTGACAGAAAAAGAGTGTGGCGAGAACTCATGTAAGACATACTATTTAAATGAGCTGGTGTTAGCTATTCATATTTGTTAATGAACTAGATATGCAGGGCTATAAGAATGAATGTTCTGATGCTTTAAATTTTAATATCTAGAAATCAAGGGTAAGGACCAATTACTCGAATTTCCACCCTTAAAGGAATAATTAATAATGATATAACAAATGTGCCGCTCCAAACTTCTAAAAAAAAAAGTTTAATTTAAAAAAATTAAGATTGGTAATTGAAAAACAGCCAAAACACCAATGTCAAGCTGTAGTAGTGTGTGACCATGGCAGCTTTTCTGTGCTGGTCATGGATCATGATTCTAAATGTTTTAATATACCATAATCCATATGAATGCCTTACAAGCCCTGTTAGCACCTGTAGTTAATGTTGCCTGAGATACAAATGAACAGGCTGCTCTTTGCTCTTACCTTTATGGTAAATAAACTAGCATTCTGGAGTCACAATAATTAAATAAAATGTAAATCCCTAATCTCATTGGGCTATTTGGACCCAGAAAGTTACCCGGCTATTACCTGTCTATTTCTAATGATTAGTCATGATTTATTGTCCTTTTTTTATATTGTTCCAAAAGTGGTGCCTTGATGTCTAATGAAAAGAAATTGGTCTTAAAAAGCTACTCATTGTTTATCCTGACTCTTAGATAACACATTTTTCTCCTGATAAAATATTTTTTTTATTTATTGTTCAAAACGCACACTACAGACAATAACTCTAATTCTGTTGCTGTTTTATTTAGTAGTGTTTTATCCCTGGTGCCTGGCTGTCTACCGTCCTACCTCAGCACATAGCTCCACTCTGAGATAAGCCCCTCTCCCTTGCTCCTGCTCCCTGGCTCTCTGTCCTTTGTCTGCAGGATGCAGGTTTTGAGCTGAAGAGCGCAGTGGAGTTCTTACTGTGCCTTTCCGGTTCCAGCACAATCAGAGTTTTGTGTTTAGAATTGTCCTTGACATTCTTTTGTCCCACAATGGGGTGGACACAGTGTGCTGGAAACCATGACATCATTATCACTGACACAGACTTAAATAAATCACCTGCATCTTGGCCTCTTTCTGCTTATTCAAGGATTCTTCATCTTCAGGAAGAAAGTGCCCTTTATTTTTACAAACCTTCATCCCAAGGGTGACTGGAAAATGCAAACTTTTACAAGTGTTTTAAAAATAAATATACTATGTGGTTTCAGACACAGTGTGCTGAGTCAGAGGTGTCTTGGAAAATGTTTAAGGTTAGGCGTGAGGCCGGAAGACAGCCAGGACTGACATTAATTCAGAGGGGCTATTCCTAACCTCAGAATTACTATTTTTTTTCCAGAGTCTGGGTCACGTGAAACTTAATTAAATAGGCAGATACATAGTGTTTCAAATACATACCTGGAAAGGCATAGTGTTTCATTTTAATAAATTGAGCTTGGAATTTAAAAAGAATAGGTTGGTGCTCAGCAAATCGAAGCAAAGTACATTCGAGGTAAAAAGTGACACCATTGCAATTGCACCATCTTTGATAAAAGAGGGTAAAGCTAAAGTTACTACAGAGTCCAGTAGACACAAATTGCCGACTACACATTTGTACACCCAGCATTTAATAATTTGGGAAGCAACCACCTACTGTAACTTCTCTTTACTTTTTCATAAGAAAATGACAATGAGGAAGGAAGTGCAGCAGAAATCTTGAACATTACCACTATTATGCAAAAAAAAATGCTGTTAACTGTTTTCCCCTCAGTGACTTGATCTCTCAGATGGAAAACTTATGATACTTCTGACTCTTAGCTACCAGAAATCACATGAGAAGAACGAGGAAGAAAGACACAAAAGCTATATTTATATCTTGTGCTGAACTTCTGAGAAATACCTTAATTTCATTCCTTGCAGAGACTGATAAAAATATCAGATGAGGGAGCCTTTCAACCGATCAATTATTACAATTGACAATACAATTTTGCTATATATTGAACTTCTACATGTTTTATGCAAAATGTCTCTGTGAAAATAGACCTTCAATAAGAGACAAATCCAGGTCCAAGAATAAATTTAAAGTGGTTGTACAGTTTAAACAAATACCATTCAAATGTTCTGGCTGTTATATGTTCAGTGGCATTAAATTAGCATCTATTTATTTTACCTATCAAGCCCATGATTTTTCAGTTCTGAAACCAGAAACAGACAAGCTGCAGGTCACTAACTGTAAAACATCTATTCTAATGTTGCCGTAACATTTGCTAGAACTTGTTCTTTTATCAAATGATTGCGACTAAAATGTGATGAGCAAAGGATGATTAGAATAAATTCGGGAACTCAGAGACCCGTTTATAAAGTTTCTCTTGTTTTAAGTACAATAATTACCACTGGGAAATATTTATACTGGATCGTGTTTGGTTCTCATTAGTACTGTTGTTGTCAAGATACAATTTTTTTAAAAAGTCCATGCTTCATTTACGTATTTGGAGGATTTTGAACTGGCCACTGTCCTTCTCTGCCCTCTCACATAAACTATAATTTGATAGGCAGAAAAGTCAAGAATCCTCCTGTAATATTGCCATTTTAGAAAATGGCCTTTTATCAGGTACGCGTCTTCAACTTTAATGTGACATATCTTCATCTTCATCAGAACATTGAGCTGTTGTTTTATCTGTATGTTTTCCTCAGAAAATGACTCGATTATCTCCTGGGGCATAAATAAGGAAGGGAGATATTTGCAGAGGGGTTGGGGGAAGGAATAAGGAAGCATGCTTTCGAAGGTTTTATAAAACAGTGAAATAGGTGTTTTCAATGCTTGTCTTATAAACTGGGCATTTCGAGTTTCGATATGTAGAATTAGATTTTAAAAAAAATATGCATGTGTAGGTTAGTGCCATACAAAGGGGAGACAAGTATGAAAATAAAATAAGAAATTCTGACTTGCCTCAAACCATCCAGGGTTACTAGAGGCCTAGCAGCTAGCATGGCTCTTTGTAAGTACAAATACTAGTTGCTTTTGACTCTTATTGAAAAAATAATATCTTTCCCCCTGTTTGTCACTAGAACTGCCACCAGAAGAAAAGCCCTTCATTTGCCCCAAATAAGCACCTCTGTTTTTCACAGCTTGCAGTAATGCTTAAAGTAAATAAGTTCTTGTGCAGCTAGCACTATTGGATTCATTCAATTGCCTGAACAAAGCTATTGTTTAGAGGTTTACAACAAGCCTTTTCTCTGTTTCCTTTCAAAGACTCTTCCTTGTTCCTGTGGTTGGCATGCTTAGTATAGTAAGCCTTTTTACAATTTTCAAATGCTAAAGATAATTTTCCCCCACAGAAGAAATGAAGGAAGAGTATGACACTATGGGGCCGGAAGCCATGATCCAGACCACAATTAACAATGGTACAGGTAAGTGAAGCTGACCGCACCAAGCTCACATTTGCCCTGTCATATGGATCTAGCGAGTCGGGGAAAGAAACACTGACCCTTCCATCTGTAGTTCCATGATTTCACAATCAAGTTAGACATTACACGTCTCCTGTTTTGTTGCAAATTAGAACTCTCTATGTTTTGGCATTTTATTCAGCAAATATATCTTAAACCCTTCATTTTCCTGTGAACATTGAGAAAGGTGAAGTGGATGACTAAACCCTTTCAAATCATGAGTTTGGCAAATTTCTGTAAGTAATTTTTACTTTAAAAGATTGCACAGATAATTTTAAAAGCAGAATATAATATGCCTCATCTAGGCACCACTTGATATTGGCATTCAGGATTCAAATGATACAGTGTAATTTTGTTTGTAAAATGTGTTGTTTTTTCAGAAAGATAAACCAAATTTCCATGAACATCCCTCACAAAAATTGATCATTTGAGTTTCTTTTTATTCTGTCTTTACTTTGAATGCTCAGTGCCCTCTAACCCTTCCAAATAATATTGTCTAAGCAACGGTTTTATAAAGAAAAACTGACAGTTTTAATTCTTTTTAGTGGAGCTAAAAAAAGGACAGTGGGCAGGTAGTCAGTGGTATTTTGTTTTCCTGGGCTACTGCTGTAGGATGGAGTCTCCAGACAAAGTCCATGTTCTGTCCCCCAACAGCATCTTCTCTCACATTCTCACAGCACCAGTGCAAATTTACATAGACTCGCTGTGTTTATCTCTTTTCCTGAATAAGGCTAATTATTGTTGGTGTTTCAAACAGCCCTTCACACTACCATTACAAATATTAGCATAGTGCCCAGTATTAAGGTTCTCTTCCAAAACAACACCAAAAAGTAAAATAAAATCACATAACTACTTCCACTCAACTCACCAACTGAAAAAAAGTTACGGTTTTATGAAGTTTTAGAAATGTGAGTAATTAAGGTTATATTCATATTTCTCTTACGTTGATGAACATCATAATAAACCGCTCAGGCTGTGCTTCTATTTAGAATGCTTTTGTTAATAACGTACAAGGCAGTAATTCACTTTCTTGGGTATAAAATAAGAAAAATAATGAAAACCTAGCTACAAAAATAAAACTGCACAATATGGGATTTTGGAAAAAGTATAGAATCCTAATTTTTAGGTACAGCCCTGGCAGTAACTAGCTTCTGACCTAGGGCAAGTCAGTTACCTTCTTTGGAATTCACTCTCTACACCTGAAAAATAAATAGATTGAACTAGTTGCTTCTTAAGAGTGTTTCTAGTTTTAATAGTCTCTGTTGCAGGGGTACCCTCACCATGTAAAATAGAAACATGAAAAAATAACTTTATATAAAAGCATCATAATAAATACCATAAATAAGATACTTTCTACAATGTCCCAACTCATGAGCTCAAATATGGATTCATGTTTCTTTTAAAAATAAATATTAAATTTCAACTTCAAGCATAAACAAATGCTAATTTTATTACCTTTATAGGCAGTTGAAGTGTCACAAAAGTAAATTTATTCCACAAAGTGACAATTTACTGGCTGTTTTACACACTTAAAGTTTAAAGGGAAATTGATAAAAAGTGTTTCTATTCAGAAGATTTAAAAATCAATTTTGAACGTTCTTTCATCTAGCTTTAAGATGCCTTTTCTCATACTGCTTGCTACTCCTTATAGTTTATATGTATTCAGTCAATAAATAAATCAATAAGTATCCATTGACTGTCTTCTCTATGTTCACTGTTGTGGGTATGTGTGGTAGAAGATGGGTCAGGTAGTCCAAGACGTGGTTATTATTTAATTTGGACCATGAGACTAACACTCAAAAAATAATAATGAGCAGTAAGTGAAAATATGTGATAAATATGCAACAAATGTCAAGAACCATAATTATTTCAAATTACGGAAGTAAGAGAAATCCCATCGTGTTAGTATTTAGAAAAGGTTTTATGATGGTGCTGAAACTTGAACTAAGTACATTTTCCATAGTCATAGAGGAGTGAGGAAGAGCTTTCTAGCAAAGGAGGAGTATGTTAGCCAATGAAGGAAACTGCGATATTTATTCAGAGACTAGGAAAAGGATTTGGCCAGGTCCTAGGAGGCAATTCATGGGAAATGAAGTGAACATTTTAAGTTGAATCCAGCTGATGGAGAACACAAAGCAACAAATACAAGTTTGGGTCATGTTACACTACCATGATTTCTTTGGGGGGGGGAAAACCAACTAGAAGTCACTGTAGTCATTCAGGTGTAAAGTGATAAAAAAGCTTGTCCTAGGGTGGTGACAATGATGAAATTAGCAACATGACTTCTTACGGACCCATTGATTCTCTTAGTGATGGAGTCAAAATAGCTTCAAGATTACACTTTGTGTGTTTAGAATATGGTAATACTTGCTATTTCTAGGTAAACAGAAAAAAAGATCCAATTTTGGGGAGAAGACCTTGAGCTGGTTTTTAGACACACATATTTTCATATAAAGGTTAGACAAATATATAGGGGAAGATGAGAATGTCCATTGGAAATGAAGAATTAAAACCCAGGAAATCAGGGCTGGCTATAGATACTTGAGAGTCATGAAAATATATTCAGATAGTTTTTAATATTTTGGGACGATGAGACTTACAATTGACAGTGTGTTTATTGAAACAAGTAGAAAGCTGAGGCCAGGGTTCCTGGTGGGTGGAAAGAAAAGTCAAATTCATTGAAAGAAAAAAGATTTTAAGAGAGAAAAAATATGAAATATTCAGAAGGCAAAGAAAGAAAGTTTCAAAAGGGAGAGAATGGTCAATTCAATCAAAAGGTTCCAATAACTACAATTTTGAAAGAATGCTGAGCAAATACAATGAACTTGTTAATTGGGAATGTACTGCTGATCCTCAGTTTATAACTCAGCCCTGTTAGAGAATAAATACATATCTCTTCCCAACTATAAGTTACTATTTCTTTGCTCTGGCATCTTTTTAGATGCTAAATACATGGGAAATTGAAATGAGACATGTTTTCTGGTTGAAATTACTTATTAATCAACCATATATTTCTCTTCACCCAAGTCCTTCTGATGAGGATCCCACTGACCTCCTCTATCCGTCCCAACTTAACTGATATCTTCCTCAATGAACTCTTATAGAACATATCAGCTAACCTTTCCATAGAGGCTGTAGTGTGTTGTTAATTAATATGTTGTCTTTTCCAAATTAGATTGCAAACTCTAAAAGCCTGGATTGTTTCTTAGGCTACCACATTGTCTATAAGTGTGCCTTAAAATTAATAGGCTCTAAATAAATGTTTTTATTAATGAATGAATATAGAACTGTTTAACATCAGATTCCATTTTTCTTTTCTAATCAAAGCAGAACCAGTAGACACTGGAATATATACATTTTTAAAAAGTTGCTCTAACCTGTTTGGCTCAGTGGTTGGAGTGTCGGCCCCCTGACTGAAGGGTCCCAGGTTCGATTCTGGTCAAGGACACGTGTACCTTGGTTGCAGGCTCGACCCTTGGCCCCTGTTCGGGCACGTACAGGAGGCAACCAATCGATGTGTTGTATCTCTCTCATATCGATGTTTCTCTCTCATATCGATGTTTCTCTATCTGTGTCTCTCCCCCTCCCTCCCACTCTGTCTAAAAATCAATGGAAAAAAAAATATCCTCAAGTGAGGATTAACAAAACAAACAAAAAAAGTTAAGCAATTTTTCTGATAAAAAATTGTTAACTGGAATAACTTTTAGAGGGACGGCAAAGACAATGTCTCTAATATTTCTCTCTGAATACTCATCACACAAAATTCATTCCTAACTAAACGTAAAGACAAGACCTCTGAAGTTCTTCCTCAATTTTACAAATCTACTAAATAGTAAAGTTTAACTTTATATAAATAAAATAGTCTTTTAGAATCTAAAAGCATATCCTTCATAATATATTCTGCTGAGTTTAAATCTGTAAGAAGAAGTGGGAAGGTTTAGTTGAATTGAATCACAGAATTCTAAAATTAAAAGTTACACTCCAGAACAATTCCTTAACTGTAATTTGATAGTTGAGGAAACTAGAAAAAAAAACATGCCACATAGCTAACTGATGGCAGATTGGAAATAAATCTAAATCACCAGACATATCCTTTTGCCTCAAAAGGGTTCCCACCACTCTGAGGAGCTGATGCTGCTAGAAACGATGGCATCATCTTTGACATTTACCTACTTTGTCTAATTAGTCATTAAACACTATGAATTCTACTGTCACACTGTCATACATCACTTGTATCATTTTAAATCCTCATCTTTCATTTGAGTCTTATAATATCTTGCTAACTGGGCCCCCTGTTTTCAATTCCTAATTTCTTTAATACATTCTTCACACTAGCAAAGTAAGTTAGGAGTTGTTTTTCTGACACTTAGGGCAGATGGATAATTGTAACTCATCCCCCATTCCATTCAGACTCAACCTTGAATGATTCTCCATTGGTTTCAGAATGAGTAGGCTTTTGAGCTGAGTTGACACCTCCATGATCTAACTCCATCTTGCCTTTAACACCACTGCCCAGAATATACCCCAGCTCGGAAAGGCTGCTTACCATTTATACCCCTTTGCCTTTGCTCATGATTTTCCTTCAACCTAGGAAGCCATTGTTCTTTCTTAGCCTGAGAGCTTTCTTAGCCTGACAGCATCACACACCCTCTTAAAGGCCATCTCCACCATCTCCATCTCATCATCTCTAACTCAGGATTAACCATTCATTCCTTTGAGAGGCTTCTTATAGGATCTATTTCATTCTCTCTCATATTATATTTAGTCACCTGCAGGTATGTTTCTCCCCACTAAATTGTAAGCTACTTGAGGACAGGAATGGTATGGGGTTTTGGTTGCTTTATTACCATAAATCCTGGAATGGTCTAGGTCAGAAGTTTTGAAGAAATGAGGGAGCAAATGAGAGACAAACAACACTTGCTTTCCCTTTCACCTTTTCAAGTTGACATCTTTTTGACCCCTCG